AGGCCACAGAGCCCGGAAACCCACAGGTGATTTCCCACACAGAGTATTAGAGATCAAATATTTACAAAATAAGCTGCAATTGAGGCTGCAGTTAGCAATATCCCCCCATAAACCTTCCTGAGCAAATAGCGTGGAATTTGGAGTTTTACTGTCTGATAGCAATTTATTTCGCAAATGTAGCTCCTCTGAAAGTTTGACTATATAAGGGCCACCCTGCAAAATTCACCTGGTTCAGACCTTTTAGGTTAGTGCTAGGCACAGCATAGTGGTGACATAGCAACTACAGACAAGCTGCCTCATTTTAAATGTCTTTGGACAGCAAGAAAGATAGTCCAGTGAATTACAAGGTCGTGGTTTTAGATTTAGCCTTTGAATAAACAATGTTGTTGCCTGCACTAAAGAACTCAGCACACATATGACTTGCTAAGAGTCATTTTCAGAACTTTTTACCCCTGACTGTGTGGAAACCACTGGAATAATACTGTGGCCAAAAAGGCACACAACACGACCCTCCACTTTGTCTCCCAAAACTGGTTCTGTGGTACTTTCTGTCCTTTTCATTGCCACAATTTAAACCAGTAAAATTTCTTTGTTTATGATGAGCTTTACAAACTTTGAGTTTTTTTTTTTTTCCAACCCCTTTTTAAAAATTTTTGCTATTGTGTTTTGGCGGCTTAAATTGGGTTCAGCTCATGTTATCGAGTATGTGGGACTTAACTTCCAGTTTTAGTGCTCAAGCTGTTTACAAATATACTTTTTGGCCGCAGTTAATTAGATAAAAATGTCCTTGGCTGGCACTACTTGCATGGACTTAACAGTGGAACAGACTAAAGAAAATTATTACAGTAAGTTATGATTACTAGCCTCATCAATTTGATTCAGTCTCTGCTGATTCCCAGTCTGCAGTGTTGCAGGTGCAAGATACCAAGTCTCCGCGTGTTCTGTGTCGGCTCTTACATGTTCTGCATTGTTGAAATACTGAAGATCTGCACTGTATAAAGAATACTTCAATATTGTCTACAGATCGTACTATTCGTAAATTGATAAGCAAAGAAACTGATCAGAGGCAAATTACATCAAGTTCTGCTATAAAGTTAGGAAGGACAAAGTGTGAGCCATCGAGTCAGATCAAATATTTTACAGTTTTCATCGCCCAGATATTAATTATTACATTTATAGACCACTATATGGTCACAATTTAAATCCAATCAGTATTAAGCAGCTACATATATTTCAATTGGTTAAGGGAACATTTGTCCTCTATGTTATGTACTGTAAACAGGGCTATGGGCCACATTTTACTTAACATAATTGGTCCAGATTTAAATGAAATTCACACCAAATCTCATTTCTAATTAAATACGAAGGACACCACGCACATATTCATATACCACACATATATATAAACATATATATATATATATATATATATATATATATATAAACAAATAATCATAAATGGTGTTTTAAAATATTAACAGAATGAAACAAAAAGCTATGCTTGCTGGTATCTGTTAAATATAATTTTAATTTTAATTTAATATAAACAGGCAAGAGAATTGGAGTTTATATGTTCTATGCAGGCTTTCTAAGGATATTCTTATTCCCATCCCACTTTACCAAAAACACATGTGGCTAGTTTGAAATATATTGCTAATTAATTCCATTGTGTGCATTGCCTTTCTGTTTTGGTCTAACTAATCTTATCATTTGCTGTGAGGGGTGGACAGAGTTGTAAATATTTAACTTGACTGAAGTGGTGCTGGTTAAATTTTACTCAGGTTAGAGTACTTGTAAAGAAAATATAGTACATCAAGTGAAGGTAAAGACATTGGTCAGTTACTAGGTGGACACAAATAGCCATCAACAGTTCAGATGAAATGAACAGTGTAGTGCTGTTATGGACCAGCGGCAGGGATGTGCACTAGCATTTTTAATTACAGTGGCACAGTACACAAAAAGATCTCACCAATACCAGTATCACAACTAGTATTACTGGCAGAAACACTAACACTGGACTGTTACAGTGCTGATAAAGCTGTTATTACCTGATGCTCACAGTATAGTCAGACAGTCACAATTCTACAACAGGATCAGGAAAGTCACTGCTGAGGTTGATTAAACAATGAAGCACTTTCAGATCACTTTAATTTGCTTTGAAAAAGCATAAAACATTCTATTAAACTTTCATTGTCTCTGTGCCTTTCTTTTCAAAAGTTGCAACTGCAAAACATCTTTAGAATGAGTGCGTGTATGCCATCTAGTGACCATATATTATACTGACTTTGAGGAACAGTGACAAGCAAACATTACCCTCTGAAGGCTCCAGGGGCATAACAAACCTGATTTACACCATTAGACACAAAAAGCAGCAACCCTAGATGTCAACTTAGAAAAACAACCCCTCACTGACACAGTTAAAGTTGCATATAGCATGGTATTGGATTTCATAAAATTGAACAGATGTTTGTAATAGTGTTTGAATGCTATATTATAGTATGTGTTATTGTGACTTTGTGTTATAGATAAATATCACTTGTATGGCAAGTGCACATTGCAAAGGATGAGAACTGGCAAGTTAGCACAGGCCATTGCATTTTGTTTAATGATACCAAAAACAGTATGACATCTCAAAATCAACTTCCTCCAAACCCTTGTAATTAATAATTGTAATTAATATAAATAAAATCATAAATATTATATTACTATTATATTCATGTGCAAAACATTGTTAGTAGCTCGTATTGATATGTGATTTTCTTAATTGATAGCATGGAAAACATTGTAATTAAAAAAAACATTTTCCAGTCTGTAGCCTTCATCTAGGGTTGACGTTGGAAACCTCTGGACGTTTTGTTGTGACCTTTAAATACACAAGGAGAATCACATATTAATGTCAACATTTTCACTATAATCTTATATTTGTCTGCCTGTGTACTTCAGAATATTTTCATAGGTTTTGTATGTAATAACAGAAGAGAAAACAAAAATACCTGCATTCGGGTGTCAACATTTTGTAGATGGGGCCTAAAACCCTCTGATGTGTAAGTGCCTGCAAATCCCAAGTTGTGATCTCCTAAGAAAAATATATGATAATGTTGAAACTGCAAATGTTAGAGATAAATAGTTTACTGATTTTTTTAATTACTAAAAAAAGACCAGGACAGACCTGTATCTGAGAAGTCAAAGAAATCTTCCTCAAAAGCAGAAAGTCTTCTGTTATAGGAGTTGCTTCTTTTCCTAAAAAACAGTGTTGATTTAATTAGTTTCACATGGTAATGTTTTTAACTTTATGATTACAGTCAAGACAAAATATTTGTTGACAATTTCCATATTACTATATAGGAAGATGCATTTTGAGCATCATAACCCACCAAACACCCATATGTCTCTTTTTGACAATGACAGCAATAATGATGATAATCAAGAGCAGGAGTGCTGCTGCCAATGATCCAAACAGTGCCCCATAGAAACCTGGACCCCGACGGAAGAGGTCACACTGTGGGCCATAAAACTGCTCCAGGCTAGACTCAAAGCACCTGGGTGCAAGAGTCAATAAGTTAAGGAAGTTAACTACTTTGAGCAAAAATATTAAAATGCTTTTTTTTGCATAAAAACAAATGTTTTGGCTTACCTACAAATAGGTCCTTTGTAAACATTATTGTGGCATTCTCCATGTTGATTACAGTAATCTGGGTTTGTTTTGCAAGGTCCAACACACTGCCATTGACCATTACCAATCTCAGCAGTGTAATTAGCAAACTGAGTGCAGTTAACAAAAGGCTCCAGGTCTTTAATATCTGATTGATGAAAAAAATTGTAAAAAAAAATACTTTAAAATATTTGTCACTGTGTACAAGTACCATGATACAAAAACAAGAAATTCTAACATATTGAATAAAAAAAACACTGACTATGCAAAAAAGCAAAAAGTCAAATATGCATATTTAAAACTGACATGGAGTGCACTTACTTGTAATCTCAGGTAGCGGGAAGGTAATTCCATTTAACAGCACACTTGCATTAAAGGCCTGAGAAATATTACTGAGGTTACTTGTATCATTCAAGATAGCAGTCAACACTCCATCAAGCTGAGTGTTGACAAACTGGATTTGACTTTCATTGTTTGCATAGTTGTACTCTGCCACGGTCTCTGCAACAACACTTCCTGGTCTACAACAGAAAAATAGAAAAATAAGCATAAAAAACCACATGATTAAAAATTAATTTAAATAATTGTATCAGTCAAATTTAATGAAACCTACGATAACTTGATGACTTTTAGAGTTTTATAGCTTTGTGGATCTGCTTTCTTGCATAGGACTTCAAGCTGGAACACAAGACCATTGTTATTATAACATAGTTATGGTAATAAAGCCACATTGTTGAATATTAAAATAAAAAAATAGATACTACATTTTAAAAAAGATCTGTAAATAATATAAATCATTGCAAATATTGCATGCAGATTCATTATTATGTTATAAGATAGTTACTGAAATTATTATTTGATAATAAGTCATGTAACAGTGAGAAAAAAAATCTACCTGCGGTTTTAATGTTTTGATGAATTCTAATGATAGATGTGATTTCAAATTATTAAAAGCCTCATTAAAAGTGATGTTGATTTTCAAAGTAAAATTCACTTTTCGAGTTGGTATTGCTCCAGTATCTGTAAAAAATTAAAATAAATAAAACATTAAATTAACATTAAATATATTGCAATAACATTTTAAATTCAAAACTAAAGTAAGAACTATCAGTGACAAAAGCAAACAAATTTAAAGATAATTTATTGCTAAAAGTTTCAATATTTTCAAGTACTAGAATATTTT